ATCTTCGATGGTTTAGACACAACAAATCCTGCATCTTGGTAGGAGGTTAGACTAGATGACCCTTGCGGTCCTTTCTTACCCTGTGATTCAGGATTCAGGATTCTGAGGAACGGAAGGAGTGGGAGCAGCAGAATAAGGACAATGGACTTGGAACAAGCAGACTTTAACAAATTCAGAGAAGTGGTAGGTATGGTACCATGAGAAGAAAATCTAAGGGAAAAAGGAGCTCAGGGGAGCTGGCAGTTTCTCAGAGACAGTTTTAAAAGGCACAGCAGCAAACTACCCGGATATGAAGCAAAGAGAGGAAGAATAGCAAAAGACCAATATGGCTCCCTCAGGAGCTCGCTAATGAAATGAAAATCAAAAAGGAATCCTACAAAAATTGGAAACACGGACGAGTTGCTAAGGAGGAATAAAAACTAACAGCCCAAGTATGTAGGGACAAAATCAGACAGGCTAAGGCTATGTCTACACTGGCAATTGAATGACAAAACTTTTGTCTTTCCGAGGTGTTAAAAAAAAAGAAAGACAAAAGTTTTGCTATGACAAGTGCCAGTGTGAACAGTGCATTGTCGGTAGGAGTGCTTTCCTGCTGACAACGCAAATGCCGCTCGTGGGCGGTGGAAGGAGAGCAGACAAACAGCGGCTACACCAAGTGATTTTTAGCAGCACGGCTGTAACCACACAGACATGTTGCTAAAAGCTGTGTAGTGTCGACATAGCCTAAGGCTCAAAATGAGTTACACCTGGCAAGGGACATAAAAGGTAATAAGAAGAGAATCTATAAATACATTAGGAGCAAGAGTAAGAGAAAGGCATGTGTAGATCCACTGCTTAGCAGGGCAGGAGAGCTAATAACAGAGGACACCAAGAAGGTTGAGATGTTCAATGCCTATTTTGCTTCAGTCTTCTCTAAAAAGGTTAATTGTGACCAGATGCTTAACACAATTAATATTAATCAGGGCAAAAGACCACAAGCCAGACTAGGGGAAAAACAGATTAAAGTATAGTTAGATAAGTTTGATGTATTCAAGTCGGCAGAGCCTGATGAAATTCACCGGTGGGAGCTTCAGGAACTAGCTGAAGCAATATTGGAGCCATTAGCAAGTATCTTTGAGAATGAATGAAGGACAGGTGAGATCCCAAAAGACTGGGGAAGGGCAAACAGAGAACCTATCTTTAAAAGGAGGAACAAAAAGGCCTGACTGTGATACCTGGAAAGATACTGGAACAAATTATCAATCCATTTGTCAGCACTTAAAAGATAATAGGGTTATAAGGAATAGCCAACATGGATTTGTCAGGAACAAATCATGCCAAACCAACCTGCCTTCTTTGACAGGGTTACTGGCTTAATGGAGAGGGGAAGCAGCAGACATGATACATCTTGATTTTAGTCAGGCTTTTGACACAATCCCACATGACGTTCTCATTAGCAAACTAGGGAAAGATGGTCTGGATGAAAGTACTGTCAGGGCTTTGTCACAGTTCAGAGATCCACACCTGTGTTTTCCTGCCATCGCTCAGCAAGGGCACCCGTTCTCAAGCTTCCGTCTCCCTCGCCATCGCCTGTCTTGGGGTGGAGACCTACATCTCTCTCCCTCCTGAGCGGGGTATCTCCAGGCTGAACAGGTCCCTGCCTCCACTGTCTAGTTACCAGCAAAAGACAGTCTGCCTAAGTGGGCCTGCTTGCTTTCTCTGCCAAGATTAAGACTAGAGTGATTGCCAGCCGTTACACGTTACTGCACGGCACACTGATTCTGAAGGGAAAAGCATTACGGAGAAAACATATTAAGAACAATAAAAGAATGACCCGCATGCTAATAAGTTCACCAGCGATCTCCCCAAATGTCTCCAACATTCGCTCTGGCAGGTGAGTCCTTCCATCCCCCCCTTCCAAAGCGGTCTCTTGTGTGGTGATGAGTTCACAACAGCCTCAGCTCAGAACTAGCACCCAGTCTTATGGGGCCTCAGCAGGCCAAGTGCTTCCAACCCTTCCCTAAGGATTGGGGTCCTGTCCGTTCGCGGATCTGGAAGAGTCAGCTTCAACTCAGGCGATTTATCCCAAAGCCCTTTCTTTGTCTGTGGGTCCCGGGGCAATCCAGGCTGGCTCTTTGACCCAGGTGAACAGCAGACGAACAGTCCTCACTCAGGGCAAAGCCTCAAAGGCTGAATCTCTAGGTGGGGTGCGCAACCCCGTCCCCCAGGACATGCAAGGAATTCCACTTCACACATATGGTCCCCAAAGAGCTGCCCCATCTGCTGTATTATTCAGCATAGTCTTTCGAAGCGTCCACTGTTGGGATACAAACCGTCTATGATTCTACTATGTAAACACTTGCTTATAAACAACTACACACCCCACTGCTGGGTTTGAGGCCCAGTCACATCCAGGACTGACAATAAAGGTGAAACTGACATGACTGATGTGCCTTGTCCAAGATGACAGAAACACAACCAGTTAAAAATGGGTCTAACTAATAACAGGTAAACTGGGTTTGTAAGTTTCCCACCTTAGCACTAATCTGAGATATTCTCAGCAGCTCGCATAGAGAAATGTGCTTGTTGATACTGTTTATGAATTCAGTCCCAGTGATCATCCCAGAACACAGTACAATGGAACCATTACAGCCAGGGCTGTTCCCAAGCACAGTGTATAAATCACCCAGTTCACACACCCCCATACGCCCTTGTCACCCAATACTGATCGGATGGGCACCAGGGGTGGTGCAGTCCCTGCAGAATGGGTCCGGGAATGGCAGTGCTGTGAGAAGTGCAGCCCCCATGCTGGAGTGATGTGGAATCTCCCCACTTCCCCCTGAGGCGCTGGGGAGAGATGAGCTGTGCTCCTGCCCCCACTCTCTCAGGTACCATTACATCGTGACTGATCACCCAGAAAACAGACCCGGGGTGGCCAAACGTACTGACCCTCTGAGCCTCATGCAACAATCTTCGGAAGTTTGAGAGTGGGGCGTGCTGCCAAGGCTGAAACCCCAAGACTCCCCTCCTGGCAGAGGCGATGCATGGGGGAGCACATGGGGCACATGGGGCTGGCAAGCAGGGAGCTGCAGCTATGGGGAGGGACAGTAGCCAAAGCAGCTGCCCCTCTCTGCAGCTCCCAGCTGTTTGCCGCTGCCTGTCCATGCAGAGCTAGGACCCGGGAGCTGCAGCGAGGTGGCGGGGGGGGGGGGGGGGCTGGACTCAAGCTGCTG